AAAAAACTCAGATGCAGACAAAAGGCATAAATATACAATCTATCGAATCAATCTATATGAGTGAACATGCCTCTCCCTGAGTTTCTGTGCAGTAAAGGAGACCACTACACCCTGCTCCTCTCCAGCTTTCAGAATCAGTTCCTCTGGCCTCACAGTGAAGCAGCTGTCCCCATCAGTACTCTGAAAAACAGCCAGAAAGACAAGGAGTGAATCCACAGCAAAGGCTTAGCTACGTAGTTTTAACACTGTGGTGTTGATGCATGGCACATTCTAGTGTATTTATAGGATTTTGTCAATGTATGAAACGTATGAAATTGTGTTAAAAAGTAAAGCTCATGATCAGTTACCTTTAGTCTGAGAAGAACATCAATGTTGCCTGCATTCTTTAAGGGAAGCGTCTGTTTGTCTGTCTGCCCAAAAGGAGCCTGAAGACACACCGTCTGTACAGATATTCATGTAGTAAAATAAGTGACAACAAGCAAGTAAATAATCAAATAAGTTAATTAAAAGATAAAACGGAAGCCATTTCATAACCTCAAAAAGCTAAGTGTGTCTTGTAGCTTGCAGAGACATTGTTTTATCCATTACCTGAAGGTCTTTGGGTGCATGCACTCTGGGAGTGCCAGACCTTGCCCTCAGGGCTACACTCTGAATCACATGACTAGGGCCTGGACTGTCCACCTCAATATCCACCCTTGCACTGTATTCATCAGCTGGCCCCAGCTCACCTGCATCAAAAAGAGACAGCATCTCATGTTCAGTCTGTGATCTATTTTACTGTATACAGGGCAGGGTCATTATAGTTAACAAACTAAAATTAAAACCATAAGAAAGTATTAAAGGGGTCATATGATGCTTTTTTAAAGATCATTATTTTGTGTATTTGGTATAACAGAATATGTTGACATGCTTTAATGTTCAAAAAACACATTATTTTTCAAATACTGTACATTATTGTAGGTCCTCTATGCCCCGCCTCTCTCAAACGCTTCGTTTTCTACAAAGCCCCCTCCTT